GGAAGATCTTTTGATCTCAGGAATTCCAGATCAGTCTGCATAACATAGTGAGATTCCAATCTCAAATCAACAGCAACAACAAAAATCTAGAAATTTCTGTTCAAATGTAATCCTTTGAGCTGGGATTTTATTGCTACTTCCCATGATGCCTCAGGACCAAGTATCTCAGAACCCTGAGATCCAGACTTACCCACACTTGGTCCAGAGACAAAAAGAGATCCCTTCTGCCTTCCAAAATTTCCTGTGAGAATACAAGAACATGCAGGTGCAGTCGTACATGACTCCAATCCCAGAGACTTCTGAAACAGCAGGACAGCCTCAGCAACTTAAGCAGATCCTGTCTCAAAATTTTAAGAAATGGAATGGACTGGGAAGGTCACTCTGATTAATCATCCCTGGGTTCAAGTCCTAGTCCAGAAAGAAGAACAAACGAATGAAGGAACAAAGGAATAAAGGAAGATTGCCCATGCCTGTGCTCTCCTAGTGTCTCTCCTGTGCACACTCAATCCAGCAAGGCACTCCAGAGATAGCAAAATGGACCTGAGTTTCTGAAGCCCTGGCTCCTTAGTTACCTAACCTGAAACTTTGTATAGTTGGAGAGTTTGAACTTTAAATTGGGCAGGGACTACTAGGTCCCTGGGAGCAAGAGACAAGCAGGCTGTCTGTGTGTCAGGGGACTAGGTCTCTAGTCCTTGGGGCCCCTCAGCCTGGCCCATCCCAGCCTAGTGAACCTGCTGGTAATGAATTCAGCACTTCTTCCATGGCTCTCTCAAACCTCAGAGCAGTTAACCTGGCTCCAGCTCTTTGCACACAATTCTGTCACAAGCCAGTGAGTAGGACAAAAGGAGCTGTCATCTCGTGTGTGAGACTCACAAAAGCTTTTTGAAATATCTCAAAGTCAGAATATTTGCTTGGAGAAGGAGACACAATAATAATAATAATATCATCCACCACTTGCTGCATATTGACCCCAGGCCAGGCTCTGCAGTAAGAGTGTTGTAGGGACAAACGAGGCAAGACACCGAAGATAGCAGGAAACAGTTTTATTTGGCTGCAGCCAGGTTCAGAGGGTACAGCTTTTGCTATAATCAATTAATCCCCTGAACCCCGAGTTTAGGGAGTTTCAGGAGTTTATACCCAGCATGTAAGGGGATGGGCTCAGAAGCTCACAATCTGCAAAAGTTCACATAAAAGCAGCTTTTTTTTTCACTGTTCTGGGCAAGTTAACTCTTCAAGGACAACACCTGAGAAGGGGAGAGCTTCTCCTCTTTGTTTCCTCCCCCTACCAGTTGTTACCACAGAGCCCAATTGTAATTTATCTTAAAAATGTAGACATCTCTGTGAATACCAGCTCAAGTCCAGATGCCTTGTTTGTACAGTTCTACAAAGTACTATACTGGATATGTTTGTGAAAAACTAATAAGGGGATGACCAGCACCTGGAGTGCTGGTATCTTCTCTGCCAGTGGCCAAGTAAACAGGGCAACACCAAAATAGAAAATTTATCTACATTGGACTCTTTTACAGAGACTCTCTTCCTGACTATCCTAAAATGAGCCATGGTGAAGAGGGTTTTTCTATGGAGAAAGGGGGTACCACTTGAAGAGCTCTACTTCAGCTGACGATCATGATCCTGAGCTGATATTCTCTGAACAAGGAAATACCACTGCTTCCTGTTACAGGTAAGAAACCTGGGTGGAGAACCTGTTAGCAAGTGACAGGGTCTGGACACCCAGTCAGTTTAAATTCAAGCCCATGCCAACTCCTCTGCCATACAACATGACATGGTGATGCAGGAACCCCAGATCCAGGCATTTCAAAAACTAGACCTGAAGCTTCCTGCCTGGGATGCCCCTTTCTCTCTTTTAAGAAATCTGGGAAGCCTAAAATAAGCATTAAGTGGGTAAAGTTAGGTTTACCAGCCAATGAGAATCATGTGATATCAACTTACCAAGGAACCCTAGTCTCTTTGATGGCAGAGTTGAAGGATTCTACAAAGATTCAGAAAAAAAAAAAATGTTTGCAAGACCACAGAGTCCACAGGTCACATAATTGACCAGCTCATTTCTCAGGAAGAGGAGCTCGATCAATCTAACCTGGTCTAATCCAACCTCGATCAATCTAACCTGAATCTAAGCTGGTCTCCACCTTCCCACTCCAGGGCTCCTTCCATGCATCACCCAATTCAAAGAAATTATAAAATTGTGAAGTGAAACTAGACCATTACTTTCAGAGCCACTCAGTGTTTT